TCGGACACACATGGGCATGTCTCAAAGTGAAGGCCATAGGGTTGAAGAGGGTCTGCTTGGTCAGCGGGATTCTACTAAATAACACTGATGTGGGATGTTGAGACATGCCCTCTTGCCGACGAGAAAGGGGCAAGGCCTAGGAAGTTGCCCTGCGTGGTCCAAAACCATCTGAAAGCCACCGGGAAAAAACAAGCATTCAAACCCAGAGGGGATCAGGATCTTCGGGTCTGATTCACGTGGCACTTCAAGTACCTGAGGCTCTGAGCGTGCGCCTTTGGGCTTCTTTGCCTGAGCTCGGGTTTCAAGGGCAGGTCGGTTCGCCTTGATCCAGTTCTTCGTTCGTGGGTGTTCGTGGATTCTATACAGGGTTTACCAGTTGAACGGTTGGAATCTTCACGCGAAAGCACAGCCAGGCCATTGATGAGACTCTGCGTTCTCTCGGCATCTTGTCCAGAGGAGGCATGGATGCATATGTGCTTGTGCTCAGCTTGCCTCAGCTTACATGATGGCAAGACTTTCACAACATATGCGCTCAGACCGCCATCCCACCGAAAATGCAGTGTAGTAGCAATCACAGTGTACCTTGAGTATAGTCAACATTGTCAAGCCTCAGCTAATGCTGGCAGGGTCCACCAGTCGGCTGGAGGACGGAGTGCACAGATGTAGCTCATCCGGGTCATCGGCTATCATTCGGCTTCAGGGCTGCAGGTTGTTGTGTGAAAGTAAGTTGCTTGGCTTTGCACCGTTCGAGGGTCAAAGAGAGAGAGGTTGACAGGATGGACCTCCTCAGTTAGGCAAGTCATTTGCAGGCTTCCCCTTTCGAGCAAATGTAGATGGCATGCAATCAGACCATGTGCCCACCGAGCCTCAATGCACCCAAGGATTTGCAGGAGCAGCTCATTCGTGGACAGCCTGCTCGCGGCACAGGAACGTGCAGGGTGTCATGATTTGATCGCTGAACCATCTCAGATACTTCTGCATGCGGGAGGATATACCGATATACCATCACCTTTTAAGCTCACAAGATTGGACCTGAACAAGGGGGCGCATTCCTGGCCAGTCCTCTGATGATGCAGGCTGGCAAGATGTGGACCCCCGTTTGGAGCAGCTTGAGGTCTCTGCCAAGGCCGCCAAGTCGAATTAGTCGAGCCTCAACGAGGTGATCTGTTCGAAGAGCTAGTAGCTTTGATAGAGCTGGGCGGCCATTTTTGGGAAGAGATTGAGCCACCAGGAGACCCGAGCAAGCTCTGAGGATTTGTGCGTCGTAGCCGAGAGCAATGGTGAGGGACAGCGGCATGTCTCGCCTCAGGTTATGGATGAGACGTACAAGGCTGGCTCGTTTTGTTCAATCTGTCGAAAAGCGCGTGGCCATTGGAGCAATAATTGACGGCCATTCATACAAGCTGGGGTAGTTCATTCGCCGGAGGCCATGTCCACAGAAATGCTGCAAATGCGGGAAGATTTGCAGAAGCTCCGGCGATTGCAGGCCGGATGAGTACAGTAACTACTAGTTTAGCATGTCACCATTGCACTTATATGCATTTATGTTCATTTATGGCAACATTGGGCTGGGGCTGAGCTGTCTTTTACACTCGAGCTGTCTGAAGCTTTAAATCCTGCATCGTAAAGCGACAGGTCTCGCAAGACACGCAGGCCAGCGCTTTGGAGGCAACCATGATGGGCAACAACCACGGGGCCCACGGGGGACATTGTGCATCACCTTGGAGTTGTTTGCCACTGTTCCTCTTCGGCATTCTTGCAGGAACGCTTCGCCATGCTTTCTTTTGTTGAAGACCTTAGTACATGCATTCGTGCTTTCATTGCTTGTTGAGCTGCTGGCTCACATGACTCATTACAGCTGCTGCGGCCCCAAACAAAACGCATCTGGCGCTTTCTCATTTTGCATGAGGTGTCGTTAAGTTCTACAAGCTGGACAACCTTTCTGTACCTCAGACAAGCGTGTTGCAAGTGACTACAATGGCAATGCCAGAGCTTAGTGAAGTTTTGTGGGCTCGTGTAGGCTGCTTCCTGTAGAGCACCTCCGCCGGCCTTCATGGTGGCTTCACAACGCGGGGGTTTTCAGACCTGGGCTCAGTAGTCTGATATCAACTCGAAACGTTGCGCGCCATGACCAGCAGCTCCCTTGCAAAGCCTAGTTTGATATTGCATCAGGTCTGGCAGAGCTTTCCTAAGTCCATCCGTTAAAAGGTATAAGATATATATATGTATATATATATATATATATATATATATATACAATATGTATCTGTACATGAGAAATGAAGACAAACTTCAACTCCAACTCACTTGAACTTGACGGACTTCCTGTGGCTCAATCAGCTAGTGTAAAGGTTCTTTCCCTGCGACATGCGCATCCTGGTATCAGTTCTGGTGCAGATGAGATGTCCAGCCAAGTAGTTCACTGGTGTGAAAACCAAATCAGCAGAAGCCCGTGCAGCAACGACCGTCAAGGTCAACACAATTCGTCCTTTTGCAATCTGTGTTGTCACATTTTTCTCACGCAGCAAAGCGTCAAGGCAAACTATGCAAGTGCCACGTAGACCCTGCTAACTCCCACTCCCATCCAATTATCCTTGGCCTCGGGGGTAGGTCGTTATTACTGTTTCCTTTGCCTGCACGCTATGGACCAGCTGCACTGAGCGCAGGGCGGGTAGGCTTTCGCCGATGGTCTGCTTCGCACTGATATCGATCATAGAATCATGGCCTTGAGCAATCATGCACTCAGTTGCACTCATGATGTCTTGAAGTCTGCCCCGCAGGCGTGGCCATGGACAACTTCACCGGTGTGCTCAGCGCTTTCAATTGCCAAGGTGGCCCCTCGGCTTTCAGAGCATATTCGCATGCAACGCAGCTTGGAGTCCGAGGGAAAGCCCCATACACTTTGAAGGGACTCAGAGGACTCCAAGTTTGTGTTTTAGATGCTTGTGCCGAGGCTTTTGCACCTGCTCCCTTGGAGGGCCCCACGCTGGTGGAGCGCTGGACCCGAAACTCAGCCGAAATGACCACGTGCCAAAAAATTGCCAGTTATTCAGGTGGGTTGCCCAGATGGTTCATGCTTCGGCACGGCGGGTTGAATCTGGATCTGCCTAGCTGTCACTTCCATCAGAATCGGCGTGTAATGAAGTGGCCGTTGGATGCTTCACGAATCATGCGCAGGCATGGCTTTCTTCTCATTGAATGGGGATTGAGATAAGCGCCGTGGTCCGTCTGAGGAGCGAGATTGATGATCGATGGCTTCCACCAGAGGCAGGGATGACGCCAATGCAGCGAGCAGGGCAGCTTGAGGGTTTTGCAAAATTGAGGGAATTGTAGGGAAACCGACGTTGAGCAGCCATTGCAGTCCCTTGGACAGGTGAAGGAAGACAACCTCTTCATGCCATCCCCGCGGTTGACCAGCTCCCTGTCTGAGCAGACGTCCGCACAGAGACCTACGTTTACGGTGTGTACCTCTGTTTATGTTTGTGGGTTTAAGGGGTTTGGGGCTGCTTTCAAGAATCAGCTGCTTGCACGTTAGCAACTCAGTGCTGAACCCTATCGCCTCGCTTGTTCTCGAGAGCGTCTCTCGAGCCTTGGGCCGATTCCCCGAACGTTCGCAACGTCACAGGGTTTCGGGATTTAGGGTTTCGGGTTTAGGGTTTAGGGTTTAGGGCTTAGGGCAGCTCGTATCCAAGGCCGAGACCCAGAAGTGGTCAAGGGGCGCGGCACTCGGCAACATGGTAGTGGCTGCAGTGCGTGGAGGGTACCAAGACCGGATCGCTTGTGCTAGTCTCGACCCGTTAGTTACATACATACATACACACACACACACACGCACACATACAATGTACATATGTATATATATATATATGTGTGTGTGTGTTATATGTAATAGCAATGGGAGGCTCACAATTCATCATGGAAGCCGTGTGTAGACTCGGTCCGTTGCAGGCCTCCGATGCAGTCTCCCTCCTTCCTGCAGGACTGGCCAACGCGTGTTTACAGTAGGACTGATGGTGTCGTGCTTTCAACACGACAAAAGACATGGGTGTGAGGTTGCTTTGTCTTCGCGCCACCCTCAGAAGGAGGGTAGGCGTTTTCTCGAAGAGTTGCGCATGGGCCACGCAGCGCTGGCTGGTGTCAAGGGGTGCCTATGAGCATGTCTGCTTGTGTTGCGTGTTGCACTCCCCTGGTGCCGCTTTGTCCTCGTGCAACCCTCAGAAGTAGGGAAGGGCTTGCCCTGTCGTCGTGCCGCCCTCAGAAGTCGGGATGGCTTGCAGGGTGTATGGAGCGAGGTCATGGGTGTGAGTGGAACTAGTGAATTTGATCTTTGGCCGCTTCATGTTGAGGTCAGGGTTGGCCAGTCTACGGAAACACAACAGCCAATCATAGACGACGGTTCTTCAACCTGGCAGTGTTCTGGGATTGCAGAACATGGGAATGCTGCAAGCGTAGTTGCGTAATCACCGGCAGTGACCAGTCGGTGGGAGGACAGTGTGGGTAGCACGGACCGCAACACAGTGGACGAGGCTCTTGACACGCTGCTGTTGGAAATTGCTTGCACAGCCGTGGCCAAATTGTTCGCTGCATCGGCTGCTTCGGTTGAGCCTGAGGTGTCATCGACCTTCCGCAGCTTAGGGCTCTCTGACCCCTCATCTTGTGCTTGTGTGTGACAACCCCACAGCAGTCCCTCTTACCATGCCGCACACCAAAGCCCCAAAGCCCTCCCCCCCATATCACCAAAGAGCAGTACCTGGCCATGCAAGAAGCGCACTGAGCAGAGCAGCCCAGCAACTTCAGGACTGCCATCTTTTGGTTGGCTTGACCATCCTTGACAGGGAGATTTCGACGTGGCTAAGGGTCCGACGGTTGCTGTTGAACACCGGGAACTCCCGACGATCTTGGGTTTGTGGTTCTTTGTTCACACCTCAACAATGAAAGCTATTCAGAGCCTCGAGCCAAGCCAAGCAACGATCCTCGACGCCCCATCTTTGCGGCAGAGGATGACGGCGCTCCTGGCCCTGGCAGAAGGGCACAGGCTTGGAGGAAGTTTCCATTGAATTTTCTCAATGAAGGACTAGGTTGCCATTTAACTCAGAATGGACATCACTAATGACTCCCCCCAATCCTTGGAGTCATGAGAACTTTGGTTTCAACCGTCGCTGGTAGCCACCATGCGAGCGCAACATGCGAGCTGAAAGACACCGAGATGGAAAAGCAGAAGCGCCAAGCACTACATGTAGCTCACCCACACGACTGTTGCGGGAATTCCTTTCTTCACGATGTGTTTGTTTTTGTCGGGGTATTTTGTTGTCGTCATTTCGCCGCTTTTGCTCGGTTTTTGGTAAGCAGGAAGGAAGGAGGGAAGGAAGCAGCGGAAGCCGAAAGGAAGGAAGGCACATCATGACGTCGTGAGGAATTGCTTCCAAATATCTCCACCGCGGGGGGGGGGTGTGCCCCCCCCCTTGTTAATCCGTGCAGGCTTGCGTTCCAGGAATTGCTTCAAAACCCAGTTGAATCCTCTCGACCCCGTCATCCAGCACAGTCATATTCAGTAGTTAACTTTGCTCTTGACATAACTATAGCATACTTTATAGTGTAGTTCGAAAATGATGCAGGTATCAACAGAACATATGTACATATTATCTGTATACATACGGATCTCCTCGTAGAATTTTGAGGAAGTAAAGTTTTTTTTTTCCGAGGAAAGGCCATTCAAAGCTTCCTTGAATGTAGAGCAAGCAAAGACGTTGTAAGACACAAATGTGTGTTTTTGACTTTCCCTGTCAAATAAACATCGAGGAATGGAGGTCGCCATATTCAAATATAGAGGAACTGTCGCATTAACAAGTGAGGGAATAGAGAACTATAGCTCACATGTCCAGGAAACAGCAGCACGGGGTCACGGAATCACCGAAAGGGTCGCCGTTAGCGATTTGGAATGTGCACGGCGCCTAGGCCAGCGACACGTGCACACAGAAACATGGAGAGGATCGCCATTTGCGATTCGGATGCGTGCTGTGCCTAGGCGAGAGACACAGAACAGAAAACAAACGAATTCCTGAAGCAAAAATCAAAAGATCTTATTCAACCCATTGTTGCATGTATCGGACCACTAATGACGGGTCCAAAAGGCGACAGATCCTGGAGTTGGCGGAGGCGCAGGAGAAAGCCTGGGTGGAGGCCTTGCGACGAGATACTTCATTATGGTACTGGTCTAGTAACCCTAGCAACCACAGAGCATAGTAGCAGTGTAGGGTTGGCTCAATGGAATTCAGTGTTCAAAATTAAGACCATGCGGAAGCTTGTGCTCCTGGCGTGTTCTTGAAGAGGGAGGGTGCCTTCGTTCAGGAGTCCGGCCGCCTGCCCCAAAAGGCTGCGCACCAGAGTGACCCCAGCACGCAAGGTGAACACAAGGGGCCAAGAGTGGGATCTTGAATATAAGAATATATATATATATAGATATATCATAAAATATAGGGCGAAGAAACCCTCTGATTTCCCTTACTCTCTCTCCACGCCCCAGCCAGGCTTTGAAAAGCGAAGGGACCACGAACGCCGTTGTCAGAGAGGTGCGGGCTCTGCTCAAAATTTCCTGTGCCCCTGAATCCTCCCCACAGTCCTCGCTGAAATCTTCTGAACATTTTCTGGTGAATGCAGGAGTTCCCTGGGCCGAATCTGGGCGCACCAGCGCCATCCCTTGGCCACATCCGTTGTACGCGAGAGCCAATTGTTGCGGAGTATGAAGATCCCCTCCCACAGGCCCCGCGCGGTTTGAAGGTTCAGGTTCTTCTTTTGGAAATGTTTCGGGTTTACTCACCTGCGCATTCCCGAATGGCAACGGTAGTATGATACGCGATGGTCGTGTGATCATCAGGTCACAGGAGGTTGGTATCGTTCTCCAGACAGGGTCGGTATATAGACACACTTCATCTTGATGGGGCAGGTGGCCGGTCCTGGCGTAGACCATTCCTGGCACATTGCTAAGAGTCGTATGATAAGCTCTGCCATGGCAAGTATGTCTGCTCTTTGGCCAGGATGTCCATGACAATCTTAACAGCATTGTGCCGGAATGGAGAGATTCAGACGATGAGCCTCTGCCAGCAGGGACAGAACTTTCCGGATGTCCACATCGCTTTGCAAACTGCAGGTTTCATAGTGGCCCTGTTATACTTTAGGAATGAAGTACTCCCGTCCTAGACGGTACAGTGCCGTAGTTCGCGGAGAACACCAAAATGCCACAGTTCCTCTAGCGCGCATGGTGCTAAGGAGCGCAGTTCGAATTGCGAGGTTGTGCATAACCGCATCTCCAAGCAGAGCAGGCTGTCCAACCACTCACGGCAGGAGCCGGGTGAGGATAAACAAGGCGGGCATGTCCCCGCATGGGCGCTAGACCGTTAGACCGTTAGACTTGAGTTGGAAGATGTTTGAAGCCAGTTCAAACAGCCACAGGAGTTCGGCCACCTGCTGGATGACGACCACCACTTGGATTTCACTTGCTTGCAGGTGAAGTCCATCAAGTCGGGAATTGAACTCATCGCAGGATTCTGGGCTGCATTTGGGAAGTTTGCCTGTGATGCTGCAGGGCTTATGACAGGCTTCGAGATGACTATACCAGCGTTCTTGGTCCGTATACGGCAGCCCAGGCGTGTTGGTGTTGCTGAACTCGATTACGCTGATGGTAGAGCTGGAGGCGGGGGGATAGGTCCGCATAGGTGGGGAGGGGGTAGAGCGCTCGGGGTTTTTGAGCCATTTTTTTTTCCGGTAGGCAGGGTAGGGGGTTGGAGGGGGGGCTGGGGGTGTCGAGCTGCGGAAGGACACAGCATCAGCATGAGGTCTCGGTGTCAGGAGTAGTGACACTTGATCTGGATCGAGGGCCTTAAGAATCACTGGGTCCACGAACTATGTGCAAATCACAAGCTAGCGTCGGCAAGCAGTGATGCAGTAGCACTTGACAGGAAGATCCCCTCAAAAGCACCTGCAAAGCACCACATCAAAGCAGGTGGAGGGCAGAGTGGTGGGCTCCACGATCGGGCTCGGAGGGGAGGGCGACGAAAACCTGGCCAGTGCCCTTCCAGTCTTCCGCATCGCCGATGCCATCTTCGTGGGCTTCTTTGCCCTGGAGCTCCTAGTGAGGATCTACTTGGAGAGGCGCAGCTTCCTACATGATTACTTGAACTGGTGGGACGCTTTGTTGGTCTCGGCGGGCCTTGTCGACGTGATCTTGAGCATCGTGCAGGCAGATAGCTGGATTGACAATGCCGTCGTTAGGGTCGCGCGGGGCTTGAAGGCGCTCAGGGCCTTTCGGATGATGCGGAGCTTCCGGCTTTTCCGTGGCCTTCGTGTACTTGTCAAGGCATGCCAGTGCCCCCTGGTCTTGATAGGAAGAATTTACAGTCAGGGCCAGATGGGAGGGGGGAAGAGTTTGACCAGGCAGCTGCCGCACCCCCACATAAGGTTCGCATAACCCCCCGGGGGTTCGCATAACCCCCCCTGGTCATATTATCCATAATAATATTAATAATAATAATCATCATACTTATTAATAATATTAATTAATAATAAGAAATAAGAACATATATTAATATATAATTATATAATATATAATATATATATATATATATATATTTATTTATTTATTATTGTATAATATATATATATATATAATATACACCAATAAATGTAGTAATTAATAATCATAATTAACAAAGATAATATAATAATGATAATAACAATCAATAATTTAGTAAAGAAGATTATTTAGAAGAAATAAATCACTATATGTGTATAGATTGATTGATATATCAAAATTATTAATATATTAATATTTTAATTTTGAATATTATTTTATTTTCATATACTAATATAAATATATATATATAAGCCCTAAACCCTAAACCCTAAAGTTAAAGCATAAAGATACATGATACATAAATATAGTTTCAATGTCAAGGAGCAGATCTCAGAGATCCAAGGAGGGGGGGGGGGGGCAGGACGGCCCAACAATTCACTTGGGAGGCGCGTTTAACCGGACACCCTAAACCGCAGCTCCAAAATGCGTGTAAAAATGAATATAATATGTTTGAAACTGCACATAGAGCCTAAACCCTAACGAGACCACTGCCAATCTAATAGTAAACAGGACGTTTTGTGGGAGTTTTGTTTGATTGGTTTTGAGGCCATTCCAGGTTGAGTTGAGAGTTTTTTGTGCTGCAACTTTGGACTCAGGCCAATCCAACCTCAATCCTGCCCCAGGCCCTTCCAAACTACAAAACCCGTCAATCCCTATTCTACCAGAAAGCCCCTCCCCTGGACAATCCTCCTTGACATCCAACATTGCCATTGCATCCTGTTGGCCGCCCTGGTGACCTTCTGCCTGGACTGCAACCTTGGCCATTTCAGGCCACTCAGCAGGGGCCCTGGCCAATCTTGGGAAAGGGTTTGGGTTTAGGGCTTAGGGGTTAGGGTTTAGGGTTTAGGGAAAAGTCGTCCGTCAGGACGCCACGACCGTCAGGTCGTGTCTAGAAGTCGTCCGTTAGGACGCCACGACCGTCAGGTCGTGTTTAGAAGTCGTCCGTTAGGACGCCGCGACCGTCAGGTCGTGTTCAGAAGACGTCCGTCAGGACGCTGCGACCGCCAGGTCGTACTTTAGTTTAGATTAGAAGTCGTCCGTCAGGACGCCGCGACCGTCAGGTCGCGAAAAACAGCCCTCCCTGCCCAGTAAGGCCACTCCAGCTCCACAACCCTGAAAACTTAAGTAAGTCACTCAACTTCAATTCATCATCTAATCTACTGTTAGATTATTATAGGCCAATCGGCATAGGCATCTCTCACACACGACACGTTATGGCCAACAGCAGTATGGCATTCCCCAAACCAGCGTCTTAGATAGTTAAGGGGCCACTCAGGATAGACTAAGTTTCACTGAGGGATTTGATGTTGGGGGACTTTGATTTTTTGTGCAAGCAGGGTTGAGGGCAATCAAATTCCAGGTTGTTGGTTCAGGTCTTCCTCCCAACAATCCCAGGCCCCACCCTGACCCAAAATCCCAAACCCTGAACCCAAATCCCTGAACCCAAATCCCTAAACCCCAAACCCTAAACCCTAAACTCTTCATGATGACATGACAATCAGTATAATATGTATAATAATAGTATAGTATAGGCAGTCCCCCACCCTAACCCAAAATCCCAAACCCTGAACCCAAATCCCTGAACCCAAATCCCTAAACCCCAAACCCTACACCCTAAACTCTTCATGATGACGTGACAATCAGTATAATATGTATAATAGTATAGTATAGGCAGTCACTCTCCAGCACCACCTCCCTTTACCCCCTCCCCTTTCCCCTGCCCCTCCCCCTAAAATTCGCCCAGGCTCGTGGCTCTACTGGCAGCGACCAGGGCCACTCCAAGGACACTGGGGAGAGGGCTGGGCAGGGGATAAACCCTAAACCTTGAACCCTAAACCCTTTAGCCTTCAACCCTAAACCCTAAACCTACCTAAACCCGAAAACCCTAAACCCGAAGCCCAAGCTCTAGACCCTAAACCAGAACCCTAAACCTGAAACCCCAAACCCTAAACCCTCAACCCTAAACCCTAAACCCTAAGCCCTAAACCCTACTGAAGCCCGAAACCCTAAACCCAGAACCCAAAACCCTAAACCCTAACCCTAAACCCTACACCCTACACCCTAAACTGTAAACCCTGAACCCTACTTAAACCCAAAACCCTAAACCCTAAACCTAATTCCCTCCTGAGCCAACCTCTATACTATGCAGCTGCCAGTGCACAAGATAATGATGGAGATAGCAATGGAACTATGCTGCAGCCAATCCTAGCATGAAGGGGTCTCTCTCACTTACCAATAATAATGATACTAGTTAGTTAATCCAGCTGCTTTGTTCTAACCCAAAACATTTAATTGCACCACGAAGCCCCCAGCGCTGTGGAGCCATGGGTGGCAAGCGCAAGGGCAAGAATTCTGAGTACAAGCGCGATTTGGAGAATCTTGGAGTTTCTTGGTGATGAGGTTTTGCATCATACTTTTTGGTCTTATGATTGATTGTTATTACTTTTATTTACTGTTGTCCATCACCACCAGTGACATTTTTCCCTCAGCTGCTAAGGAAGAAGAGGCCGATCGCAGATATTTCAAACGTTGGGGTGGCGGCCCGGACAATCTGGAGTCCGAGAGGAAGCAGAAAAGGGACGAGGCCAAGGCAGCCAAGGCCAAGGCAGGCAAGAAGGCCAAGGCCAAGGCCAAGGCCAAGGCCAATCAAGATGGCAGGCTTGAAAGGTCTGGAGCCACCTCCAAGGCTGCTGGGCCAATCCCTCCTCCCGAGCCTGCGCATCCAGGAGCACCTTGGCCCCCAGCGGCCCCTCCGGAGCAACCAGCCCCACCAGGCCAGGAACCCATGCCGGGCCATTCACTGCATGAAAGGGCACCTGAAACCCCAGCCCCTGAGCAGGCCCCGGCCCCTCACCAAGCTCCAGCCCCTCACCAGGCCCCGGCCCCTCACCAAGCTCCAGCCCCTCACCAGGCCCCAGCCCCTCACCAGGCCCCACAGCAGCCATTCGTGCTGCCGCAACAGAATCGGTGTCCACCGGTTCCCTTCCCTCAGAGACAGGTTCCAACGCCTCCAGGACCGCACGCTGCGGCTTCTGCACACGTGCAGCCAGATGCTGCGGGCCCTCCACAAGGGCATCCACACGCTGCGGTCCCTCCTGCTTCTGAGCCTGCTTCTTCTGCCTGGGCAACTCCTTTTGCAGCCCCTGCAGTTGTCCAGCCCATCATTCACGTCCATGTGCCCAATCATGACAACCTGGTCCAGATGGCCACGGACTTCCTGCTCCTTGGTCGGTCTGGGCAGAATTGTTCTCTACAGTACAGCAATCCATGGAACTGATCTTGAAAGTCAGGGTCGCACACGTTTTTTAGATTATACTTTTGATTCATTTTTATTTAGTTAAGAATTTAAGTTAGTAAGTTCAAATTGAAGATTGTGTTGCATTGAAGGCATAAGGGCGTCATTGAGCACAAGGCTGCAGAGGACAAGCGGGTGGAGGGCCATCGCAGGGCCGTGGCCAATCAGACGGCCCACGCCAACCTGGAGGCAAGGCGGACAATTTGTTGCTTCATCCTTTGTAAACTAGTCTAGTAAATAAGCCCAACCCTGTATATGTGAGTTGTTTATCTTTCAACATTCACTCTGGCCAACGCAGGCTCGTGAGGCCAGACTGGAGAGAGACCAGGCCAAAGCTGAGGCCAGGGCATTCCAGGCAGCGACAAGGGCCGCCTTGAGGTCTGATGCTGCTGGCCGTGGCCGTCCGGTACCTGCTTCTATTTCTTCTGGCCAATCTTCTTCAAGCTCCTCGTCTTCGTCATCAAAGAAGGCCAAGCCCAAAAAGGGCAAGGCCAATCAGAAGAAGGCCAGTCAGAAGAAGAAGGCCAAGAAGAAGAATAAGAAGGCCAAGGCAGCTGCGGCCAGTTCGGCTTCTGCTGGTCCTGCCAGGCCAAAAAGAAGGTCCAATCCATAGAGCAGTGTGGGTTCTATCTTTAAATCCTCAATTTGGTTCTGCTCCAAATTTCTAGGATATCATATCATGTTGACGTAATACACCTTTCTTGACACTCCTTTATGGATGGGCCAGTCCGTGCTTCAGCCTTTTTTGCACGCCAGAAGGTGAGCCTGCTCCAGAGCTGCTTTGAAAAAAAGAGAGAATGCGTCCTGCTAAACTTAGTACTTAGGGATAAGGTTTAGCAATCCAGGCTTTCCAGTCTAGTTTGATTTATGATTGAATTGCATTCAACATAACTACAATAATCATACATAGCTAAGAATGCCCCTGTAGCACAGGCCTTTCCACCTGGTGCCCAGGGTTGGGTCTCAGAACCATTGGAATCCACCACTTGCCTAAAAACTTCCTCCCGGTGCAGGACATTGGCTGCTGCTGCAGGAGGTGCAGGCCTTTCCCTTGCCTGGAGCCTTGCTCGGTCAGTCATTCTATCGCATGCTGTAGTGAAGTCTGAAGTGTTTGAGCATTAATGATGTTTCTAAATTCGCAGTACGCTGTTGGGTCGCGTCCCTGTGCGTCAGGTCCTCGCTAGCAGCCAATCACCAGCGGCCACTTCTGCCGGGACCTCTGTCTAAGCATTTGCATTTTCTGAGCGTGGTTGGTTGATTCGGATTGTCTGCAAAGTGCTGTGTCTGCTCTGACCACCGCCACTCTATCACATCTTGCTGCTGTGGGCTCAAGGCCAATCAGACAGACAGCAGCTTAGCGTTTTATCTGTCTTTGGCCAAGATGCAGGAGACACCTGGGGCGGACCAGGCTCAGGCCTCTCAACCCCAGGCCTCTCAGGCCCAGGCCAATGCTGAGGCCCAGGCCCAGGCCAATGCTGACGGCCAGACCAAGGCTCAGGGCCAGACCCAGGCCACTCTGGACGATGAGGCTGCGGCTGCT